TACAGCACAATGTACCATCAGCTATAGAGGAATACATATCCCAGCAATACATTATAGAGCACCATGTGTGGGTGGGAGTGCAGGCTTACCTGAACAGTCTTCCAGCAACTTGTTTCTGAGATCGGGCCTGTCTATCGGCGGCTGTCATCCCCCCCACACCTGCTCCTCCTTACTTCTTCTCCCCGCGTCCCCGTGCCGATCGTGGATTTGGACGGGCGGTGAGCGTGAGGCACGGAGGAGGTGCGGGAGCGTCGATGCGGGCAGGTCTGGCAGCGGCGAGCGTGAGGTGGGGGAGGAGGTGTGGCAAGCAGCGTGTGTTAAGCCGTGAACAGGGCCAACCAATCAGGAGCCGATTAATCGATTATTGAAAAAGTTGACAACTTTTTCAATAATCGATTATAATCGATTATGTCGATTAGTTGTTGCAGCCCTACACTAGTGACTGAATTTGTCTTCAGCACTGTCACCATGGGAGTCTATTTATAAACAATTTGCAGAACCAATCACCCTTCTGAATATTTGTTATATGCAAATAAAGGCAAAAACGAACATTCTTAGTATATTTTCTTTAAAGACGAATGTAACATTCGGAAAATACCACATTATGTTCACTAGATGGAGCTGAGAAGCATAGGAAACAAATACACTGAGTGGCCAGATTATTATTACCACCCCATCAGTACTTCCTTGGGCCACGAGATGACTCCACGAGATGACTTCGTTGGGCCGCCTCGTGCCTCGAGATGCTGAAAGGTGATGCGAGGAATCTGACACTGCACTGTTGCCCTTCTGTTGTCTTGTACCAGTCTTGCCACTCTCCGTTCTGCCCTAACATTGACTAGTCGCTGACGGCCACAATTCGCACGTTCAGACCCAGATTTTTGGCTGACAGTCCGGTCTTTAAACACTTTAACAACAGCTGCTCTTGAACATTTAACAAATTCTGCTGTTTTGCTGATACTTGCTCCATGGCTCCGAGCGCCAACAATCATCCCACGTTCAAAGGCTGTTAAATCGCGTTGGTTACCCAAATCACTTCTACTGTCGTGGTAAACAACCTGCTTCCCTATTTATAATGGTCTGGCCCTCTAGCAACTTCAGCGCGAAATTATAGCTAATTAGTCTACAAACGTCAGGTGGTCATAATAATCTGGCCACTCAGTGTAGTTTTTCCTGTTCTCAGCTCCATCTATTATTATTATTATTACATAGTATTTATATAGCGCCAACAGTTTGCGCAGCGCTTTACAATATAAGGAAGACATTACAGTTACAATACAATTCAAGACAGGATGGTAAGGAGGGCCCTGTCCCTGAGGGCTTACAATCTAAAAGAGGAGGGGGAAATGATACATGAGGTAGCAGTCCATAATAAGATTTGACATTACATTCAACCGCAACAGAAAACATACTGAGAACGTTTGTTTTTTCCTCTATTCACACAGAGAGAACAGAACGTTCACAGACATTCTCAGCAAATTGTTTATGAATAGACCCCACTCTTCTGGTTAGTATTAGCATCCCTCTGATTATTTTCAATTGCCTGAAATTGCCCTTTTCTACTGCTGTGATTTCACTGGTGCTATCTGGTTCATAAAAATACATTTTGAAAATAATTTACTAGAATTCAAACGGTACAAATACACAATATTAAAAAACGAACATTTTACACAAGTTATAACAAATTCTCAATACCTATAAATATATCAGTGACTGTGGTTCATAAACATATCATTCAAGCAGAAGAATAAATATACAGGTCACAGAAACAAATCACAAAGACAAGTATAACCTATTCTTAGCTATGAGCTACTAACAGGCTTATTCAGCAAAGCAAAGAGCGATGTGCTGAATGTAACAACCAAGAAAAATCAATCAGAATTATTTCACTGATTTAACGTCATGATTTGATTGGTTGCTGTGGATTACTGCACTTTGCGCACTATTTGTACTGCTTTATTGAACACTTCTAAGTGCCAAATATGCAAGTAATAACCTAGTCTGTGGACAGAAAGGAAAGCTGATCCTCAGCCGCCCTCCATAACACCTCGGCCAATCATGATCCATTGAATGTTTTGTGACTTACTCATTCATTTATCACTTACCTCTGATCTCAGGTTGCTGTTGGCACTTGTATCAGTATTTCTAGCAGCTCCTGTTGTGCCGTCTTGGTCGTTTTGCTGAGTGATGTCCTCGTCCAGCACTCTCTTTCCATTCTCACTCTGAAGGTAGTTGTAATCATAGGAATCAGCAGCAAACCCCAACTTACTCCTTGTGCTGGGTGGCTGATCTTGTCTCCGCCCACTCCTGTAGTGCTCTGCAGAAAGCATGTAATGGGTGGGGCCTGTTGGAACCTTCCCACAGCTCTGTGCACAGGCAATGTACAGCACAGTGATGATGTCACTGCTACTTTATCAAGGTGATTTGTGCAAAGGCATTTGGTGGAAAAAAAGTGGATTTATCCTTTGTGGCTATTGAGACCTCCATGGTCGCCGGGCCCCGCCTCCTCTTCTATCGATGGGCCCGCCTACTCTTACATCACTGGCCCCGCCTCCTCTTCTATCGATGGGCCCGCCTACTCTTACATCACTGGCCCCACCTGCTCTTAGGTCGCTGGCCAGTGATGTAAGAGGAGGCGGGGTTGCTCTTAGGCAGGCCCCGCCTCCTCCTTCACTGCGACCGCTGGCCTCTTGTGCCGCAGCTGCTGGCTGTCACTGACACAGCTCCGCAGCGGCTGTGAGGGGAAACGCCGCTGCTGAGCTGTTTTCAGTGACAGCCAGCAGCCTTACATGCCATAGCGACCCACACGGCATCTGAGGAATGCCGCGGCCCTGCCCCCGTTCCCGGGCCCCATTGCCTCCGCCTGGGTCGCTATGGCGATTGTTACACCACTGTATACACACACACACACACTGTATATGTGTGTTTAAATGGATGGTTTTTTTACAAGTGTGGCAGATGTAGTGTCTAGCACTTGTGCGGTGGGCCTGAACCACACATCCCCATTGTAACTCTTTAGCTATTGCTGTGATGGCTTAGCCTCAGTATTTTCCATATTATTTTATGAAGTAGTAGTTTAGTAGTTTGGAGTAAATTATAAGAAGCACAGACTGTTTGGCTCACTGCTACGATGGTACAATTCTAGCTGTAAGATCATAATGAGGGTTTGCCTCGGTATTGCAGGTAATTTCATCTCTCCAAAAAGAGGAGAAATTAGCTTGACGCAAGCCCTCCAGGATTAACGCTCAGCAGATGTTAAATTGCATTGCAAGCCTATTGTTCAGAATGGCAGCTGCTGTGTTAGGGAGACAGCTGTCCTTCTACCATTATCCGGAATGTCCTCCTCCTCTTCTTATCAGAGCTGAAGAACTGGGAAAAGACACTACAAAAAGTTGGGTTCTTGTGACAAAGGAGGAAGAAAAGAGATGCACACAATACAAAAGGGTCAGGTTACTTTAGTGCCAAAAGGGGATTACAAGGAGCCAGGTTACAGAGACAGTCTAATGATGCCTGTGGGATAGCTGCTGTCCAAAGTTACTTTTCAGATAACAGTGTTGTATAATTAAAATGCCTGCCTATAACACTATGGCCTGCTGTCTTAAAGCTGAACTCTGGGCACAAAAACTTTCATTTACATGGTCTCCTAGTTATTACAGAAACTGCCTCCTGCTACAGCCAAATATTTCACATTTTGACTCATCAATCCAGAGCACCTGCTGCCATTTTTCTGCACCCCAGTTCCTATGTTTTTGTGCTCAGTTAAGTCGCTTAGCCTTGTTTCCACGCCGGAGGTATGGCTTTTTGGCCACAGAAAAATGGCAGCAAGTGCTCTGGACCAATGCTTTAATAATGTGAATTTTGTCTGTAGCAGGAGGCAGTTTGTTTGCCGAAGAGCTGGAGAGCGGTACAATAATGAGTGTCTGCAGCAACAGTGAAGCATGGTGGAGGGTCCTTGCAAGTCTGGGGCTGCATTCCTGCCAATGGAGTTGAAGATTTGGTCAGGATCAATGGTGTCCTCAATTCTGAGAAACACAAGCAGATACTTATCCACCATCATGCCGTAGCATCAGGGAGGAGTGTAATTGGCCCCAAATGTATTCTGCAGCAGGACAACGACCCCAAACATACAGCCAATATCATTAAGACTATCTTAAGCATAATGAAGAACAAGGAGTCCTGGAAATGATGGTTTGGCCCCCACAGAGCCCTGATCTCAATATTATCGAGTCTGTCTGGGATTACATGAAGAGAGAAGGATTTGAGGCAGCCGACATCCACAGAAGATCTGCGGTTAGTTCTCCAAGATGTTTGGGACAACCTACCTGCCGAGTTCCTTCAAAAACTGTGTGTCAGCCCTTCCCTTTGCTAAACTACTGGGGGTAGGGAAGGGAATGCTATGCTATACACTGGACCTCCCATTTGGAAAAGACCATATGACCAATACCCTAGTGTTGGTCATGTGACTTACCTCCAGAGGGTGTTGGGACTTGAGGATTCTTCAGAAAAGGTAATTATTAAACAGCTTCTGTCACCATGTCAAGGTTAAGAACAGCAGGGTAGGAAGATAAGGAACATGTAGTTTTGGACCATATGTTCACTTTACTAATTAGGTGAGACAGACCTAAAAAAAAAAAAAAAAAAAAAATCTGTGGGGAGAAGAATACCTGGTAAAGTGGCTTCAGGGCACTGGTATGCAGTAACCAGAGCTATCAGGGTCACACGTTGGCTTCTAATATCAAACCTATATCCCAGTGGGGGCCACTCATTGCATTTAGTGGCCAACAGGGCTGGCACAGGGTTGGGAGGATGTAGAGCCTGACCATGCCAGCTGTAGACGTAATCTGCAGGCATCTGGACATGGCGCCATTCAACCAGGAAAGGTTCGATATGACCTTATTGAGCTGGGCCTACCTTCCCTAACTACCTCCAGTACAACATATTGCCTTACTCCAAATCTACTGAGGAACTTCACAACACACCGTTGTTCTCTTGTAATCCGCCTCCACGCGCCTAGTCCCGCACCACCATTTTCTTTCCTTTTATCATCAGAAGCCAGCTGACTTTTTCAGATTCAGGCAGCTTGGCCCTCTAATGACACAAACCAGGTCTTCCCTCCTCCATCAGCAGTATGGAAGCTGATGCCTTCTGGGATATGGGGCATGAATAACCCAGGAGAGGATTTGGTAGGAGGTATGTGTGAATGGAGGGAAGGGGTCGGGCCAGAAAAAAAAGAAAAATGGTAAATAAAGAAAAAAAATTGGTAGTTTAGATCGCGGCGAAGGGGAGGGTGGCAGAGACACAAAGTTTGTTTGAGGCGAGAAGGTCCGATTTAATACACAGCTATGCATATGTCGCTGTAGTGTATGCTTTAAAAAGTTGTATTTTTTTTAAGCGCACCACAGTGAGACACGGTACAACTACTAACAGCAAAAAAGAAAAGAAAGAAACAGGCTTGATCAAGCGCATTGCCACTGTTTTGAGCACACGCACACCAGCAGCCGTAAGGTTGAACGTGAACAAGCCCTTATTATTGTAATATGTGTTGAAAACTATTAGGAAATACTACGCATTGAGTAGCAGTGCTAAGCACATACATTAGACAGGGTTTGCACATGCAGTAGTGAACCCCAGTGTGAACCCCCAGGCACAATGGGCACTTAACCCTTGTAGTGCTGGGGTAGCCCCACTGCAAGAGTAGGTTTTTTAAATTCCTTCTTCTTTATTTGTTCTCTATTCAATTCTATATGTGCTTTGTTCTGGTGTTGGAGACAGTAGGGTGGCTGACCTGTAGAGTAGAATGATGGACTGTTTAATAAATGCAGAGCAAGTTAAGATAGTAATGTATAAAAGAAGATGTATGCCATTAGCAGCCTGGAAAAAACAAATCTAACGTAATTCTCATCCGGAGTGACCTGTTTTAGCTGTAACCGTTTATAACGTCCCCAGAACCAGACCTACATGAGACATATTGATTTGGCTGGGTAATATACAGCCATAATGAGATCATTCCCAGGTAATTAGGCTGACAAGTAGGTCACACAGAGACATCACTGGAAATGTATGGCACAGAGCTGTGTGTGGGCCCATATAATGAGCACAGCCGAGTCTCATGTTCTCTAGTGCTGTGATGTCATCTCCTCTATCCAAGACTTGTGTTACTACAAAGAGATCAGAATTGTCCTTTTTTTAAGTCAGTTTTCTTAATGCATCCCTATTGCAACATCCCATATACTGCTGTACTAATATACATACCGTACTGCAGGGGTAGGCAACTTCAACACTCCATCTGTGGTGAAGCTACAAATGCCATCATGCCTCTTCCTCTGGGAGTCACGCCTGTGGTCTGTCAGTTTTGTAAAGCCTCATGGGACTTGTAGTTCCACATCTGCTGGAGTTCTAAGGTTGCCTACCCCTGCCATACTGGACGAGGTCTTGCCATGCATTCTGCACACAATCATTGCTCTTTGTTATATAGAACAGGCCGAGTAAAGAAGAATATATAAAGGCAACACAGCATCTGTCATCAGACATCTCCAGCCCCGATGTATTCATGGCCCCATTTTGTCATGCTTCATGAATGAGTGGAAATCCCCCATCACTGAACTTACTATACTGACGCACAGCAGACATACTGGATGTATACCTGTAATGTGGGTGACCTTCATTATATATATATATATATATAGCCAGTGTGGATAGAGCTGGCGGAACATGAGGATCCCATACATCACTGAAAAGAAAAGTCCTAGGAGGAGACGTGTACTTTCTATAAAGGGAAGTGTTTGCCCCAGTTTTATAACGAGTGTTGTCAGCTTCATGAACAGGAAACAATAACGTTTGTCATATTCCGCTGTCATTCCATTTCTCCAGCAGAAGATTCACACCGTACCATCCATCACTGCTAGTTATTACCTCTGCTTTCATATATATGTCACAAGCCATACCTAACAGGGGCTGTGACTAAAAGAAATGGTGTCTCCCTTACCTGGAGGGAATCCCCAGGGCCCGCTGTCACTGTGACAGCCGGGTCCTATGCTGCAGGTGAACACACAATATATACATGTTTGGGGGTTTCAAGTCATTTTCTATCCAGAAATTCAGATTGTAATATTTGTGCAAAAATTACACAATTGCTCTGGTATTAAGATGGTTAAAGCTCGGTATACACTAGGGATGTACCGATCCTGATACTAGTATTGGTACCGATACCGAGTATTTGGGCGAGTACTGGTAGAGGAGATCTCCCTCTGACTGGCAGTGCCGAGGGA